GGAACCCACAGGAACCCGGAACCGGGAGCCCCGGAACCCAGCCTGGCCCGGGATTTCCGGCAAATGTTGTAATATCCGCGAGGACCCCTTCAGTGCAACATCTGGTTGGGGAATACGTGTATAGATTGCACCAGAGAAAAACCCCAATCAGTGGATGGCTTGAAACTTAGTGATATGAATATTGAGATCGATAGTTAATTCGATCGTGAGATCGACTTTTTTTTTCAACATCCACAACAAGACTGCCACCAGCGAGACTGGACTGTAGTGATTTAAATCGCAATTTAAATCCGCCTCACACGGTGAGGTCTTGAACACCTTCGGGGTCGACCCTCAGACTCGAACTGTAGCTGGGGTAAAGACCTCGAAGCAACCTGCGCCAAAGACACTTCCTATGTGCCGACATCTTGCGGTCACACCTCCCAAAGAGGTTGGACTTCTTTAGAGACCCAGGACCGACAAAAGAGGCGCAGTGGGTGCAAATGTGCAACACTTCACCGTTGTCGCACGGCAGGCCGACTACGAAATGGCCGTTCCTCTCCATTTCCCCAAAATCCCAGTCCCCGCGTTTGCCCGAGCATCCTCTGGGCGGGGGGCGGAGCTGAGACCGAGAGGCCTTGAGACAGATATTGCAACGCCAGCGGCCTGCCACAAATTCCCAAACGTGCAAAGGGCGGACAGGGTGCCCTTCTCGGGCCCGCCCCACAGGGGCTTGAAACACCACATCTTTCAAATCTAGCCTCGGCCACTTAAACAGGAGAGCCGCGGCCAGTCTGCATACAGTTTTGGCCACGAGCAGCGTCTCTTCGAGGGCCTGGGACTGCTCGGCCGTGGGCACGTCATGCAGACGCACCCCAGCCTTCGCGGCCGCATCGGCATGGAAATTCCCTCTCCGAAGCTGCATCTCTCCCTCAGGCACACCCTCTTCTTCGAGAGAGAGGTGGGCCTTGACTTTCTTCACAGATTTTATGTGGTGCGACACTCTCTGACTGTGCAACAAAAGCCCCGCATAGGGCCTCTGGTAGTGTAGCTGCTCACCCAGGGGTCGGTTGGCCTGTACATGAACGTTGGCACAGTCCGTGTACATATCACAGTCACCTTCCACGACTTGGCTAGAACAGCCAAAAGCGGCAAACTCCCCAGCTTGCGAGGTTTGGGGGAGCCCCGCGTAAACCGTGCCGAAAACTCTGCCTAGGAATCTGAAAGCCCGATCGAAAATCGCAAGACCCCAGGCCGCCCTGTTAAGCTCTGGCACGATACACCTGGTGCAGCTCCCGTCCAAGAACAGTTCCCCCCTCACCATGCCGTCCTCCTCCGTGACATCCTCCTCCCATTGCCACACGGTCTTACACTCCTTGTCTGGCCTCGGCCAATAGTCCCCTGGGTGTGGAAAGATACCGCGGGTAAGTAGGAGTAGGTCTTGGGGGTTTTCGCTGTCCATGTCGTCAACTAGCTTCTGGCACTCGTCCGATACTATCTCTGCACGCTCTTCGGCACATGCCGAGCACCGCCAAAATCTGTGGAGCAGCGTGTCTGGCCCTTGACCGCACAGAGGACACTCCACCGACTCCAGCTGGTAACCGAGGCAACGCGCACGAACTCGGGTCCAACTGGCGTCGCAGCCGATCACACGGATCGCCGCCTTGCCAGATGGTGAAACCTTGCTAGAGTGCAGGGACCGCTTGAGCACATCGTAGCACAGGCGAGGGACCTCCAGGACCGATTTTTGGGCAGCAACTCGCTCCAGACTCCGAAGGACAGCTTGACGCAACAAAATCTTTAGGAGCCCAGGACTAACCTCCGTCAAAACCAACTTCTCCCCGAAATCGTTTTCCAAGGAGACCCAATCAATCATCTTCCACTGGATCCTCTTAAGGCACATGTACATCGCGGAGAAAGGCCCCGTGACATCCCTCCACGTCGCTGGCGGGGGCTTGGCGAAGAAAATTCTCCACGCCTCGCGGAGCTCCGTGAAACTGAAACACCAGCGGTATGCACCTGAGTGGGCACACCACAGCTCCTTAGAGTACCTGACAAGGGGCGCCACCGCCGCGAGCCACGTAGGCTCATCTTCTAAGATGAGAAGGCTTGTGAGCGATCTACCTTTACAGCTTGGCCCCATCACGGAGCCGGCCTGCTGCCGAATTCGGTGGAGCTCCCCGTCCGAGATCCCGTGGACTTCCGAACCATACAGCACCCCAGGGAGCGGACCCGAGACCCAGATTTTCTTGGCGTGGGACGTGATCTGTTTTTTCATAATCCTCACCTTCCGAGTCTTGGCCTTCAAGTTGGCCATGCGGATCTTGAACTTGGACTCGCGGAGGGCCCGTCGGATGTAGGCCTTCCTGCGAGACCTGCCAGCAGTGAAATCTATACCTAAGTCCACAATGCTGTCGGCCAACGGGCCCGTGCGGTCGCCAAGGAACATCTGCAGCTCCCTGGCGACGGCCCCGTCCGAGCAAACGAGGTTGCCTTGGCCCGCCTTGGACAAAGAAATGGAGCAGCCGCACTCGTGGACCAGAGCCTGCTCCAACTGCCGAGAACCTTCTTTAATACCCCAAGACACGTCCTGAGCAGAACCCGTGGAGTCCAGACCTGAGTCGTCGATAAACTGAGCCAGGAAAACTCCCCGAGGAAGGTTCAGATTGCTCAGAGGTCCCAGAAGATAAACCCGAACCAGGGAAGTAGCCATCGAGCATCCAGCCACGACTCCCCGAAGCGCGAAAAAGGGCCCAGCGACCGCTGAGGCCATGCTCACAAACCTCCCGTACCTGTAGGCAGACACGCACAACTGGGTGATGGCCGTGGGGAAACCGAACTTCCGAGCTTCAGCCACAAGCCTTTCGTGAGAAAAGTTTTCATAAAACTTAGTCATATCCCACAACATCAAGGCCGAGACTTCCCCTTTCCTAGTACTGAGCTCGGCTCGGGCCGCTTGCCGCCACACCGTGTCGGCCGCGCAAGCGAAGGAACTGCCAGAGAAGAATATCCTAGCATTTCTCACTTCCCAATCCGCCGCCAGCTCCCTTCTGCATTTCCCCCAAAGCCTAAAAAGGGAAACAAACAACCCAATGGGCCGATATCCCCCCGACGCTTTAGAGAGAAGCACCACCTGAATAATCTGGAGCTGGCGCGGCAGGCTGGAGAGCGATTCGAAGATCGCAAACAAGAGGCTCACCACCGCCAGCGCCGAGTCCGACAGCCACGAGTAGTGCCTCATGTGAAACCCATCCACCGCCTGTGCCGTGGTGGCCTTGAAAGCAGCGGCAGTCGACCTAATCTGGTCGATCGAAACCATGGGGAGGGGCTGACACACCCCTTCAAACAAACTGTCGGTCGCCTCAGAGCCCGCGTGCCACAGCTCGGCCCAGCCAGAGGCCTCACTCTTGAGCAAACTCAAAGGGTCCGAAAGCACTAAACCCCCAGCCGATAAGGTCGTGGTGGCTTTCCAACCAGGGGCCTCCTTGGAGGCCAAGTGGGCATTCTTTCCCCCCTCTTTGATTTTTGTGAGCAGCCAGTTTTTCCACCCCATCTCGCCGTCGTGTCGAGCTTCCCCTTGAAGCTTGGTCACATACTGCTGCACTAAAACCAAAGCATCTTGAGCAGCCTCCAGCCACTCGGACTTGCCCCACTGCTGGCGCTCCCCGCTGGTGAACTTCCCGTCGGGAACGGCACGAACTAAGGACTGAATCGTGCTGAGATACTGGTCCCAGTCAACACAGCCGACGATAAGCACGAAGGACGGGGGCTTCAACAGGGACTCCCTGGTCTTCGAGGCCTCCAGAGCTCCGTCCCTATACTCGATGATCAGATCCTGGAACCTATGAGAAACCCACTTGCCCGCGAACAGCTTGGGGTGCCTGAAAGGAGGGGCCTTGTCCTTGATGATCGGAACCCAATGCAGTTGCGGTGACTTACTACGGGCACCATAGTAGGGCAGCGTGATCTGGGCCAAGTCGCAAAGCTCCCTCTCGGCCAAATCCGCCCAACGCCCGTAGACCCAATCCAGCATCTCCTGAGCCTCTGAGATCTGGCCCGAGAGCGCCGTACCTAAACACCCCTCAGCAGCGTCCTGCACCTCACCCCAGTCTGGCGGTGAGCGGCCAACCCCAATCGGCCTCTCTCTGGGAATGGGCGGTGGCTTACGGAACGTGAGCGCGCACAGCTGAGCAAGCCGAGGAAAAAGCTGCAGATGGACGGGCTTGTGCGGTGTCAGCTGCGCCACCTGCACTATGCTCGTCGACTGAATACCCTTCGCAATGCCCCCAGTGCACACAAAATAATCCAGGAAGTTCAGACCTCCCAACGATCTGCAGGTCCCAGAGCCAGCAGGCTTGATCAAAGACCCCTCCAACTTCTCAGGGAAACCCGACTTCAGAAGGACTTCAGGAGACATATTCCAGTCACCTCCAAGAATGGCCTGGTGCCCCGACATCTTAACAGTAGCCCCCGCAGTACTGAGAATGTCGAGGTTCCTGCTAGACAAACCTTCACTATCGTGCAAGTACGCCGACAGGACCAAAAACGGCACATCCCCAGGAAGGTGAACCAAGGCGTTGATGAGACGGCCAGCCGAAAGCGAGGAGCCCCACAGAGGCTCATGCAGCCCCAGGAACTCCCGCGCCAGGATGCCGACTCCCCCAGACGAGCCCTCGCCTTGACCAGCAATGGCAGGGGTAAGTATCGCCTTCCATCCATGACGGCTGCACCACGACGTTGCCTCCCTCAATGCAGTGGGCTTGACGATGTGGTGCTCTTGCAGACAAATAATGTGCGCCGTCGTGTTACTGAGCCACTCTTTGAACGAGTTCCAGCAAGTGGCATTACAGCTCTCCACGATGAGACCGAAGCCAGAGGGGCAGGGCGGCTCTGGGGGGGCCTGCAGAAAGTCGAAAGAGCTAGCGGCTCCGATGAGACTGGGGACCCCTGGGTGACTAGCAGCACAGGCAGCACTGAACTCACACTGAAGCAGAGGGGGGAGCCTGCCTCCAGCAGGCTCCTCAGTAGACGAACCGCATGCCAGCGACGGAGGCGCTACCGAAGCCGCCGAAACCGACCCCGAGGTCCCACACGTCGTAGCCGAACTCGAAGTGAACGGACACCCAGGCGCAGCACTCGACCGAGTAACCGAACGACCTCTCTTAGCTCCCCGTCTCGAGCCTTGAAGATCGCCTGCCTGATGTACCCGCGCACAAGTCGGCACCGATGTCGACCCAATACTACCTGCGGGTGTCACCGCTGGGGGAACGCCCTCGCCCTGCCCAGAAGGCGCATGGCTCACGCCAAGAGCTTTAACGTCCCCGACCGACTGGGAGCAGGGGAACGTGGCGCCCCCCATAGGCGAGCCCCCCGCAGGCGCGCCCTCGGCGCGGGTCGCTCCCCCCCCATTAACCCCCTTTGGGGGACCTCTGGCCACAGGTATGGCTGCCAGGGGCGGAGGGGGGACCCCAGAAGTGCGCGGCGTCGGAGCCGAGCAAGAAGAGTATCCACGTCTGGCCCCCGCCACAGAAGCCGAACGCGTCGTAGATCCAGACTGGAGGCCAGTCTTCGCAACATCGCAGTAGGTGAAACGCACACGACATCCCCTGGTAGCTCTGGACGAACTGCCGCCGTGTCTCAGTATACTTCTCGAGTCGCTACCCACAATGCTTGGTAGCCTCTGCCTTGCCGCCGCTCGCCACCTCGGTCGCCGCTGCCACGGCTGCGCGAGCGTTGGCCTTGAGCTTCTCCGAGTCACCCTCAGCGCGTGCAGGCCCTGCAGGCTCAGCGACTTCAGGCTGTTCAGGAGGCGCCTCAGGAGCCTGCGCCCCCGTGATGCCGTCCCCGTCGCTGTCAGCAGCGTCTCCCTCTGCAGTGCGCCGCTTCTTGGCCGCGAGCCGCTCCTGCATGACCTTGTGCTCGGCCTGCAGCGCCTGGCCCTTCTGGCGCACCTCTCCGAAGAATGCGCCCGCCATCTGCTTGAAAGACTCCAGCATCTGCTTCTTCCTGGACTTTGCCTCCTCCAAGGCCGCCGAGCCGAGCTCCTCGAACTCTGTGTAGCCGAAGAGCCCGTCGTCCTCCAGGTCGATATCGTCCAGCTCGCCGTCCATGAGCTTGGCCAGCGAGAGCTTGATTGGTTCCACTTTCGCAGGGGCCTGACCGCTAACCCCCGCGGCCACTTCTGCCACAGCGACCCTGTACTCGCTCTCGGCCGAATCCAGCTCCGACACCAGCTCGGAGACCAGAGCCTTCTGCGTCTCCACCTGTCCCAGCAGGTTCGCCAGCACCGCGTTCTCGGCCTCGAGCTTTCCCTTCGTCTTGCGAACCCGAGCATGTGCCTTGTTGGCCCTGAGCTGCGCGGGCTTCTTGTCCTCCGAGCCCTTGTCAGCCTGCTCCAACAACTGTTTGTACTTCGCCGCCGTCGCTTTGTCACCAGATCTTTCAGCCATGGTGACCATCGAGCGCAACTCGTCCTTTGACAGGGCCGTGGGCGCCTCAGGCTGAGACTTGATGCGGATGGCTTCTCGGTACTTCTCGGCCATCTGCTTGTCCCCCTTCTGCTCAGCGAACACCACGAGCGCCTGCATGGCGTCCACTCCGAGATCTGGGACGGACGAGCCAGCAGCACCAGCAGGCCTGCCAGCACCCCCACGAGGCGTATCACGCGCCCACGGCGGCTTGGACTCGCCCCCGTTGCGCTCCTTGCCGCAATGCTTGCACCAGCGCCAATGAGCCTGGTTCTTGGCACAACGACAGTCGGCCTGCGAGCACCGCCAGAACTCGCCTCCTTCCGACCGAGGTCTCGATGGCGCGCGGGACGGCGGCCTGGAGCTCCTGCCGCCCTTGCCACTGTCGCCAGCACCCATGGCCACGAGATGACCGTCTCCGTGGTGGTGCCGCAATACGCGCCTCGCGCGCTCGAGCGCCAGGAGGCTGCGCGCACTGGCGCGCCGCCTCCGCAGCCGCCTGTGCCAGGCGGGCGAGGGCGGCCTATGGCGGCGCCCTCCGCTCTCCGTGACGCCCTCCGCCCCACGGGCAGAAGGCTGGGGGCTCAGGCAAACGGGCCCCCTGTGGCCCGCAGGTCTGAGCCAGAACCTATCGTGAGATCGACAGTGGGATCGATAGTGAGGACGATAGTAAGGTCGATCGTGAGAGCGATAGTGAAGTCTATTCAGTGGGATTGATAGTGAGATCGATCGTGAGATCGCTCGTGCGATCTTTAGTGAGATTGATCGTGAGATCGGTCGTGAGATCGATCGTGAGGCGGATAGTTAGATCGATAGAGAGGTGGGTAATGAGATCGATGGTGAGACCGATCGCAAAGGAGATCCACCAGGAACCCGGGAAACCAGAAACCCGGGACCCCCGGCCGCCAACCGAAATCGGCCCGGAACTAGCAACTGGGAACCGGGGAACCCAGAACCAGGAACCCGGGAACCCAGCCGTCCACCGAAATCGGACCCTTCAGTGCAAGCACTGGTTGGGGAATAAGTATCTGTACATATGCATGGACTTATGGCATAAGTATACGTATCCATTCGCAGATGCGTACCCGTACACGTATATACGCACACGTATATGTGTTCATGTAAATGGACATGTGTATATTCATATACATATCCCCGCAGTGAGGAGGAGGAGGAGGAGGAGGAGGAGGAGGAGGAGGAGGAGGAGGAGGAGGAGGAGGAGGAGGAGGAGGGCTTCTCATTTGTCTCCGCAGAAGCTGGGCCTGCGCGTGGGTCTGGCGGCTATGTCGTGGCCGTCGCCGCCCTGTGGCCGCCTCGGCGCCGCCCGTCGTCTGGGCCGGCGCGTCGGTCTGGCAGCTATGTGGTCGCCGTCGCCGCCTCGGCGCCGCCTCGGCGCCGCCCGCCGTCTTACAGCTCTTTTCATACTTCCTTTACTGTTTTAAGCCTCTCAAAAAAGGGGGAGAAACAAACGAAAGTTAAGTTAGGAAAGTTGAATGAGTACGCAATCCTCTCATTAAATCTATCGCAATATAAAGCGGGGCCATCTTTTTTTGGTCCGCCGCCTTGTTGTCGCCGTCGCCGCCCCGTCGCCGCTTCGTCGCCGCCCGTCGTCTGGGCCCCAGTGCAAGGTCGTCGCGGTCGCCGCACCATCACCGCTTCGTCGCCGCCCCCGTTTGCGTTACGTTGCACTGCGTTGCGTTTTTTTGTTTTGCATTCTATTGATTTGATTTGCGTTGCTTTCTCTGCGTTGTGTTGCGCTGCTTCGCATTGTTTCGCGTTGCTTTGCGTTGCTTTGCCCGGCCTTGCATTGTTTTGCGTTGCATTGCTTAGCATTGCTTGGTATTGCTTTGCGCTGCTTTTCGCTGCTTCTCACTGCTTTCCGTTGCATTGCTTTGCATTGTTTTGCAGTTATTTTTGTTGTTTCGCATTGCATTGTTTTGTATTGCATTGTTTAGCATTGCTTTGCATTGCTCTGCAGTGGTTTGCATTGCGTTGCGTCGATGTGATTGCAATGCGTAGATTGCACAACGTATATTGGATCACATCGAGTGCACGAAGTAGTTTTCACCACGTAGATTGCACGATTGCACCACCTAGACAGCGCCACCTAGACTGCACAACGTAAATGGCAACGCAGAGCGTTCACCATACATACATACGCACATACATGCATACATACATGCACACATCCACATTATATCTGCACAGGGTTTACTTGCTCTGCATGGGTTGCACCACATATAATGTACTACGCCGCGTAGGTTGCGCCATACAGGTTGCATCACATAGCTTGCACCGCTTTGGTTGTACTACATAACCGGCTAGAAACCAATGGTTGTGGTCCACGCTGGCGAACATGTATGACTTCACTTAAACATGCATATACACATTCATACGCACATACACATATGCATGTACATCTATATCCTTACATGTGTTTGTTTACACGTGCTCGTCTTTGTATAGGAATGATTTTGGAAACCTCCCGCGTCCCAGTCTCCCGTATAATCCTTACCTGCTGCATCGCTTCCATGAGGCGTTGCAACGGAATGATGACCACACCAGCCCCTTCGGGTACGTATTTGTTTGTTGTTACTTGGTTGCCTACGAGTTGTTGCAACCCGAGTAGGGCATGGGTGGGAATACAGTGACCACAACCATCTTAGTGCTGCTGCCTGAAGGTATATATTGCTTGTGCTTCAACAGTGTTAAGGGCAGGCTGCAAGCCACACTTACCACACGCCACCGCCGTGCGGCCAGAGCCACTTCAGTAGCATCCCGTGGCGCTGCCGCGCGATTCCGCCACCGCGCTCGGGCGGGCGCCCAGGGGTGGGGTGGGGGTGCGGGCGGCGGGGGGTTGGGGGCAGGTCCACTGAAGGTTCCTTCCCAATTTTTTTGTAGTTGGGCACACTTTCTGCTTGGAAGGCCCAGAACGAACGCAGGGACTTGGTCATACAAATGAGCGCACCTTGGGCTCGATGCGCCGGGGGGCCCCAGTTGTTGTTTCGCAAGGAGCGGGAAGGCCCGACAGACACCTACCGCTGCAAACGGAGTGGCGGATTGCATTATTTGTAGAGTTATTCTGCCAGGTTGTCGTGATACCGATCGTGATTTTACGATCGTTTTTTTTTTTCAGTGCGGTAGTATTACGAAGGTCCTGTCGTAGTGCCATCGTTTTCCATTGTGTTGCTTCTGTGTTCTCAACATCTCGTTGTCCAGCGTTCTAGTCTAGTAGACATGTGCTGTTTATGTGCGCAGATTATGTGTGCGGGCCCAGTCTCGAAGCCGCACGCGCACCCACCATCTTTTACCATTCATGTGGCGACCGCTTGAAAGTGGGTTTGTGTCTCATCCGCAGGTGCATTAACATTGTGTGTAGTGGCAGGAAGAGGGGCTGCAGTACCTGGTCGTAGGTCATTGTGTTACGAAGAGTTCGCGTAGCAGTCACAGTAGTAATAATCATAGTCGCAGTAGTAGCCGTCGTAGTCGTGGTTGTAGTCGTACTCGTAGTTGTCGTCGTAGTACTAGTGCCTGCTTTAGTCTTAGTTTTCGAAGTCGTATTCGCATTCGCAGTAGCACTTGCATTCGCATGAACATGAGCATCCGCATTCGCATTAGCATTCGCAGTTACATTCGTCTGTGCATGCGCAGATGTAATCGTAGTCGCATCGTGTTTGGCAGTAGTGGTAACATTCGCACTCGTATCAGCATGCGTAGTCGTAGTTGCGCTCGTGTGAATTCGTATTCGTCTAAATATTGGCATTTGTGATCGCGTGAGAACTTGTACTGCTATGGGTAACGTTTGCGTGGTTACCCGTGAGAGTATTCGCATTCCCATGTTTATGCGTATCAGTACTCGTATTTGTATTCGCGTTCGTCTGAGTATTAGCATTCGCATTTCCACTACCACTCGCTTTCGCATCCGTAACTGCATGAGAGTTCGTGCTCGTACAACTACAGGTGCCAGTATCGGTATCAGTATTCGTATTGGTATTTGTCTCAGTCGTGGCATTCGTATCCGTATCTATGAGTATGAGATTCGTGATCATTCAGTATTCGTTTCAAGCTGGGTTTAGTATGAGAATTCGTACTGCCGGCTCGGAGGCATTTCTCTTGCGCCACGTCAGGAACCCAGCAACACCCGAACGACAAATGAAGGCTTCTACGCCCAACCCCGTCCACATCAGTGGGCGCGCTGTCCAAACGCCCCGCCCCATATGAATTCCTAAACGGGCTACCACCTGCGGGGGGGCGCCCTGGGGTGACTCACTCCTTTACTTCGAACTTTATGAAGGGGGAGTGGCAAGAGCCTGGTTTGGGCGATAATGCTGGGGACGTCCTCAAAATCTGACTGGTTTGGCCCCTGGTTGGGCCTGGCTTGGCCTGGCTTAGCCCTGGTTTGGCCTGGTTTGGCCGCGCGCCCCGCCTGAGACATCCTCAACCATTGCTTGGTTTGACCTCTGGTTTTGGCCCAGCTTGGACTTGGTTTCGCTGGGGACGTCCTCACCATGCGGCTGGTTTGGACCTGGTTTGGCCTGGTTTGGGCCAGGTTTCGCCTGAGACGTTCTCAACATTTGCCTCCTTTCGCTGAGGTTTGGCCTAGTGTGGGCTTGGTTGAGGTTGAGACGTCCTCACGATCTGTCTGGCTATGCCCTGTTTTGGCTTGGCTTCGGCCCAATTTCAAGCCACGCCCTCACACTTCGCTTGTTTTCTCCTTCATTTGGGTGCCTACGTTATGGTCGCCATGCGGTCTCAACAAACAATGAGAGATTTCACGTTGAATGGTTCATTCTCACATGTCGTGGTGGGCGTGTACAAACCGAAGTAATAGCACGGTGTCGTGGATACCCATTGTGGTCCACATGTAGCACTGAGAGCGTTTCAAAATTGCAGGCGGCACTGGTGTGGACATTCCCAACACATTGGATGGGGATGGGCGAGTGTGGCGGCGTTCGGAGAATCCCTTCTCGAGGCCGTAGTATTCGCATGTGTATCAGCAGAGGCATTCGCATTCGTATTCGTATGAGCATCAGTATTCACACTCGCGTTCATATTCGCATAGCATCATTCCTCCTAGTCGTACTAGTTGTACTGGTGGTGCAGCCTGTTCAATCGAATGTGTTCGCTCTGGTGCCTCTCTACTTTTTCGTGGGGTTTCATGCCAAGCATTGGTGGGCAGTTCCTTCACCGGTGTGGCTTTCAGAGCTTACTGGTGCTTAAACAACCTGTGGTGTATTCTGTCTTCCACAGCTGTTGGTGTGTCTATAAGGGAAGCGTCAGGGTTCGGGCGGGGTCTCAGCTGTATGCCGCGTTACACCAGGACGATGGTGAGAAGGAGAACGAGGATTAATAGGACGATGACAAGGACGATTATGACCAGGATGAGGATGATGGAAAGAAGAATGAGGAGGAGGAGGAAGACAAATTGCAGCATAAACACGTGGAGGCTCTGTCCCAAACGACGTAAGCGAAGTCGGCGGCGGTGGCCCAGGGGAAGGGGACGGACGAGGGAAGGGCGGGACGCGTCGCGCGAGGTTGGCGGTCTCGCGCTCAAGGAGTTGAACGCCTTGGAGAAGACCTACCTGCAGCTCCTGGACTACAAGCTCTTTGTAGACCCGCAGGCCGGCCTCCGCGCGGCCCGCTGGCGGCAGCCGTTCCCAGGTTGCCGCCGTGTTTTCTCGGAGGCCGCCGGTCATGATTACGACCATGATCCGACCCGAAGGCCCCAATCTGCTCTCCATTCCCAGCTTGCGGTGGGGAGCGTCGGGGAACATTGAAAACCACACACCCCATCAAAAACATTAACTTTGGGCCTTCAGGTCGGGTTGGGGTGGCTTGGCAGGGGCCACAGAGGGGCCACAAGTCTTTGTGTGCCCCGCCTTCGCTCGTAGAATTCAGGCCCGCCCGCGCACATTGTTAGACCCTCCGCTGGTGCCTCTTGTGTGTTCTCCATCGAGGTGTGCTTCGGTTCTCGCCACCTCGTGTCTTGTTCAGGAGGGCCTTGCGCGCCAGTCCGTTCCCGTGGGCCTGCGGCGACAGCAGCAGCTGCTACCGCGTGGGGGGGACCCTCGCGCGCCTCCGCCCCTCCGCTCCGTGTCATCGCGGAGTTGTTTCCAGAGTCTGCATTTCCGACCCCCGAGTTTTTGATTCCCAACCATCCTGTGGTGTTGGGTCCTCGTTTTGAAGAGACGGTGGCCCGCGTCTCCTCTCCTTCTCTCCTCCTCCTCCTCCTCCTCCTCCTCCTCCTCCTCCTCCTCCTCCTCCTCCTCCTCCCTCCTCCCCCTCTTCCTTGCGCTTCACCCACCCAGTACAGCGTTTCGTGGCCCCATAGGGAGCTCCACCGAAGGCCCCCAGTGGCTGCGTTCGCATGGCGGCCTCGGGCCATTTCGGCACACCCCTCACGAGGATCGTGGCCCCATAGGGAGCTCCACCGAAGGCCCCAGTGGCTGCGTTCGCACGGCGGCCTCGGGCCATTTCGGCACCCCTCTCGAGGATCGTGGCCCCATAGGGAGCTCCACCGAAGGCCTCCAGTGGCTGCGTTCGCATGGCGGCCTCGGGCCATTTCGGCACACCCCTCTCGAGGATCGTGGCCCCATAGGGAGCTCCACCGAAGGCCCCAGTCACGTCGCATGGCGGCCTCGGGCCATTTCGGCACACCCCTCACGAGGATCGTGGCCCCATAGGGAGCTCCACCGAAGGCCCCAGTGGCTGCGTTCGCATGGCGGCCTCGGGCCATTTCGGCACACCCCTCACGAGGATCGTGGCCCCATAGGGAGCTCCACCGAAGGCCCCAGTGGCTGCGTTCGCATGGCGGCCTCGGGCCATTTCGGCACACCCCTCACGAGGATCGTGGCCCCATAGGGAGCTCCACCGAAGGCCCCCAGTGGCTGCGTTCGCATGGCGGCCTCGGGCCATTTCGGCACACCCCTCACGAGGATCGTGGCCCCATAGGGAGCTCCACCGAAGGCCCCAGTGGCAGGGTTCGCATGGCGGCCTCGGGCTATTTCGACACACCCCTCACGAGGACCGTGACCCCATAAGGAGCTCCACCGAAGGCGCCAGTGGCAGGGTTCGCATGGCGGCCCCGGGCAATTGCGGCACATCCCTCACGAGGATCGTGGCCCTATAGTTGTGCTGCTTCAACAACCGCGCCTGGGCGTCGTACTCCGCCTTGTCGACGTGCAACGCCACCTCCTCCCTCATGGCTCTCAAGGCCTTCTCCTGCTTCTGCTCCTCGGTGAGAGGGGCGCCGTCCTTGTCGTCGTCGGCGCCCGCGAAGACGGCCACGAACGTGTCCCTGAGCATGTCGGGCTCCGGCGGAAAGCCGTGGCCACATAGGGAGCGCGGGCCAAGATGGCATTCACAATTGCAGTATTTTCACAACAGCATATGGTTGGGTCCTTCGCCAACCTAATTTTTGGGGGATTTGGCGTCTCGGACCCTCCAAATAATTGCTTCGAGGCTGCAGCACTTCCGAGTTCTGCGCTCCCGAGCGCTAATTTCACCCACCTCATCGTTCCCTTCGTCCATCCCTCTCTCGCTCCCCCCCCACTTCCTCCCTCCTTGCTCCCTCCTCCATTTCTGCATCGTGGCGGCGTTTCGTGCGGTGACCTAGGGATCAGTCCTGCCCCCAATCCCAAAAGGCGTGCAAGGAGGGGAACCCCAGAGTCGCAGGTCGGCCCACCAGAGGTGGCCCGTCGAACGTCGACACCGATCACGCATATGCCCACGGTAAAGGAACACAAAGCTGCATAAGCAGACACATTCGGAGGTCCGCTCGGATCTCCTGGGTCCGCGCTGGACCCCAGGCCCATACATGTAACCCAACCCGCGAAGCGCGCCAGTCTGGCGGGGATGGAAGCGCCGCCAGGGGTGTAAGGAGGGGGCCCAGCGCCGACCCAGGAAAACCGCGTGGACCTCCGAAGGCGTATGTTCACGAAGTTTGTCCCTCGCCAGTGCTTGTATTTAGGGTTTTCTGTTTATTCCGACACTGCGGAAACCGTGGTGTTTTCCAGGTTTGCTGGTGGTGGGCGTTCCGTGGGCGCCTCGTGGCCCCTTCGCGTGCTTATTGGGTTTCCCGGGGTGCAGTGCGGTGGTGCCCCGTGGGCGTCTTGTGGACGTTTCGTGGCCGCTTCGCGTGCTGGGCGGATACAACAACAATGCCAACTACTACTACTACTACTACTACTACTACTACTACTACTACTACTACTACTACTACTACTACTACTACTACTACTACTACTACACTACTACTACTACTACTACTACTACTACTACTACTACTACTACTACTACTACTACTACTACTACTACTACTACTACTACTACTACTACTACTTACTACTACTACTACTACTACTACTACTACTACTACTACTACTACTACTACTACTGCTACTACACTACTACTAACTATACTACTACTACTACTACTACTACTACTAACTACTACTACTTACTACTACTACTACTACTACTACTACTACTACGACTACTACTACTACTACTATTGTGACTACGTACTACTACTACTATTGTGAGTAGTAGTATTCCTCGTAGTATTATCATTACTATTTCGACTCGGTTGCTACTGCTTTTATTCGCATTAGTAGTATTGTTACTAGTTCTACGACTACGACGGCGATGACTACTACTACTACTACTACTACTACTATTACTACTACTACTACTATTACTACTACTACTACTACTATTATTATTGTAACTGCTATTGCGAATACGACTACACCTACTACTACACGTACGACCCCTGCTGTTTCTGACGCTATTTTGCTGGTGTTACTACGACTACCACTACCACTGCCGCTACTATGATCACTACCACTACCACTACCATTACTGTTTTTATTATTATTATTACCACTGACACTGCTACTCCTGCTCGCTACCAGCAGTTTTTTTCTGCTACTGCTACTGCTATTCCTACTCGTACAACTACTACCATCACAAGTACCACTACCACCACTGCTACCGCCACCGCTGCAGCTACCATTGCCACTACCGCCGCGACCACGCCACTGCCACTACCATTTGCTATCGCTGATCATCTCACATCTGCTCGCTACTACATCTACGACTACTGCTACTGCTCATACTACGGCGGCGACTACGACTACTGCTACTACTACGACTGCTACTACTACTACTACTACTACTACTACTACTACTACGACTACAACTACTACTACTACTACTACCACTACTACTACTACTACTACTACTACTACTACTACTACTACTACTACTACTACTACTACTACTACTACTACTACTACTAGTACTACTGCTACTACTACTGCTGCTACTGCTGCTGCTGTTTCTACTACTACTACTACTACTACTACTACTACTACTGCGATTTCTATAAGCACGACTCGTACCACTACTTCTGCTACTACATCTACTACGACTCCTGCCACTATTGCTGCTGCTGCCGCTACGACCACTACTGTTATTGTTATGTTTACCTTTGTTGTTACCTCCTACTGCTGTGACTACTGCTGCTGCTGCCACTGCTACGGCTAAGGCTGCTGCTTCTACTACTGCGACTAGTCGTGGTCGTAGTAGCAGAAGTAGTAGTAGTAGTAGGAGTAGTAGTAGTAGTAGCAGTAGTAGTCGTAGTGGTAGTAGTAGTAGTAGTAGTAGTAGTAGTAGTATTAGTAGTAGTAGTAGTAGTAGTAGTAGTAGTAGTAGTAGTAGTAGTACTAGTACTAGTACTAGCAGCAGTAGTAGTAGTAGTAGTAGTAGTAGTAGTAGTAGTCGTAGTAGTAGTAGTAGCAGTAGTAGTAGTAGTAGTAGTAGTAGTTGTTCTAGTATTTTTAGTTTAGTGCAGTAGTAGTACGACTATAGTGGTAGTAGTCGTCGTTCGTAGTGGTAGTAGTTTGTAGTTAGGATTAGTCGTTGTCGTAGTAGTAGTTAGTATTCGAAGTAGTAGTAGTGGTAGCAGTAGTGGGTCGTAGCAATAGTAGTCGTAACTGGTAGTAGTATTAGTAGTAGTAGTAGGCGTAAGTCGTTGTTGTTGTAGTAGTAGTAGTTGTAGTAGTAGTTGTAGTGATAGTAGTAATAGTAGTAGTAGTGTAGTAGTAGAATAGAACTAATAGCGCAGTTAGTAGTAGTAGTAGTAGTGTGTAGTAGTAAGAGTAGTAGTAGTAGTAGCAGTTAGTAGCTGTAGTAGTAGTAGTAGTCGTTGTCGTAGTCGTTTGTAGTAGTTAGTCGTAGTAGTAGTTGTAGTCAGTGTAGTAGTAGTAGTTTAGTGTAGTAGTATGTAATTGTTATAGTTGTAGAAAACTTTAGTGAGTAGTAGTAGTAGAGTAGTACTAGAAGTAGTTGTATGTTGTTGTTGTAGTAGTAGTTAGGAGTAGTAGTAGTAGTAGTAAGTAGTAGGTAGTAGTAGTAGTAGTTAGTAGTAGTAGTAGCAGTTTTTTGTAGTAGTAGTTGTAGTAGTAGCAGTTTAGTGTGTGTAGTAGTAGTAGTCCTAAGAAGTAGTCGTCGTGTTAGTGTTAGTGTAGTAAGTCTAGTAGTAGTAGTAGTAGTAGTAAGTAGGAGTAGTCAGTAATAGTAGTAGTAGAGTAGTAGTATGTAGTGTAGTAGTAGTTGG